TTTTGCAATTAATTCTTGTGAAATTCACAGTACAATAAGCCAGCCAGCAACCTTTTCTCAGAATGTTTCAAACAGCAAATTTAGGGTTCGTAATTTTAACACGAAAACATGTAAACTGAATCGTGCCTTCCCGGACTTACATCACATCAACAGCGGCCTCACTAGTTTGGATGATCTTGGACAATTGTTAATGTTCAGACAAGTATACCTTTCAGGACAGTTAACTCCAAAAGGATTTCAAACAGTTTTCATACATTGAAGAAGAATACGAAGATGCACAAAATGTGAGTCTAAGAAAAATTTATTCCATAGTAAAAAGGGAATGTAATTAATGTGGAAAGCTGCCCACATTTTAATAGTCGTGAGTGACAGACGCCCTCAGCCCTCTGCCTTTATGTTTAGCTCGTTTTGCTGAGCCTGCTGTGTCCCCCCGGCGCCGCGCACTCTTCTTCTATGGCTGACGCTATTATGAAGGGAAGCTTTGACCATGTCAAGAGATCCCTGCTGCAGGTTTTGCCTGTTCCGAGGATTCAGGCCTGCACTTAGAACCAGTGGTGTCAGGGTTTTTCTTTTGACCCATCAACTAGTTGTGGAAATAATAATTTACTCCAACTTTCGCTCATCGCCCAAACAGGGCGCTGGGAAGGGCTTATGGCTTTGATTGTGCTGTGATTGGCTTTATTATGAACGACCTGTGACCGCGAGATTAGCACTTCCTGTTAGCAAGCGTTATTTAGTATTTTTCGTTTCGGGCAAAGTCTCCACTATAATAAAAACATGGCCTCGGAACAATCACAATGTAGTAATTTATTTTATCACTAAGTATCACTGATCACGTTTCTTTTGGCGAGATGTTTCAAATCATTGGTTATCTTGGTCAGTTTTTGATGGAAGAAAAAAGTGTAGTGAGAATATTTTCAGCAATGAGGAAGAAAAAAAATAGCGCATTGATAACCGCCGTTGGTGTCGGGCATTCAGAGAGCTCGCGCCCCTGGAAGAAATTTACCCACAATGCTCTGCACGTCGTTAGCTGTGACCCAGTGTGACGTCTTTCCTTCACTGAAATCTGTGCAGGGCCAACAGCCCTTCCCAGCGCCTGTTCGGGCACTGGGCAGTCAGCAAAACTCCAACGGTGATCCGATTGTGTCGTTCAAGCCATCCCTTACCGGGAGAACCTGAGTCTCCACACTGCGGAGACTCAGTTTCCGCCCCTAGCCATCGCTCAAGCGCTACCAATACAAAAAAATTACACCTACATTTTTTCAGGCGGTTTGAATTAAATGAGCATTTTTAACAACATCGTTAATGATAACAGTATCGTTTTGTTATTTTTCTTCCGCAGGGGACATTTACCACTCCAACGGCATAGTATTTGCAGTTTTTGCTACACGGCCGTGAGTGATTTGTAATTATTATTGTTGTTATTGTTTATATTGACTTATGTGTGGTGGCCACTGTCCAAATTGTACTGATTTACGATAAAATATTTTAAATTGAATAAAATATGTCACCCTTACTTAAAACAGTTATACATAAAAGTAGAACAACTAAATTTACACTAGAACTAAAAACAAAACGTATGTAAAAATAAAAATTGCAACAATTAATTTGAATTAATAAGGTTAACGTAATATGGGATTGTGTTATACTTGAAACAAGAAACTCAAGCAGGACTAGAGGAGATAGTATTTGTATTCCTGGGGTTCCTACCATTGAAAGTGGATCTAGATTGGGGAAATAAAGATCTACAACGATCATTCTTCGGGACATCCTTGGCAAAACTGAGGCAGTCCAACTCTCACCTACAGTAGAAGGGGTCGAGATTTAACTGTTTAAGGACAAAGTCATATGAGAGATAGTTTTTGCTAATATTACCCTGCAAGCTCTTTTCCAAATATTTCAATACTCCTGCATTGATTCGCAGTCAGCCCTTAATACCACACATCGGCATTCTCCAATACCGGTCTCACGTAACCACTTTAAATAGCTCTTAAGTCCTCATAACTAAATCCAAACCGCTTCAGCGA